AAAGAAGCAGAGTAAGAGATTAATTGTGCAGTGTAGTCAGATTTTTTATTAACGGGAGTTTTTGCGAGATTAAACTGACCTTTTTAGTAGCCTAATGTTGAGAGTTCTTTACTCGCTTTCTGTACACAGTTTATTCCTCGTTTTGTTTTGTTTTTTTATATTATTTTATTTTACAAGAAAACTTGCGAAGTCTTGTTTTAGCCTACTACTAATGAGTAAAATAGAAAAAAAAAAACGCATCTCCGACACATTTGAGCAGCATTAGTAAACTGTGTAAATATAAAGAAATGCCAAATCACATGCAGGTTTTTTCAGACCGGAGACCATAATCGTGTAATAATTTATTTTATTATGATATGAAGAGTCAAAATTTTCTCTCAGTAATGTTTTTTAAGTTTTTCAAGAATTTCGTGATACTAAACGTTTTATTAGTTGTCATAGCAAGTGATTTTAAAAGTAGGATGGCTCCCTTTTTATAACATGACTGAATTTTACTTTAATTCGTAGTTTATTCTTACTTTTGGAAACCTCATTGTTTTATAATTACTATTATTATTATTATTATTACTGTTGTTTCTAGAAGTAGTAATTTTGATAATAGTCAATAGAAAAAAATATAACCACACACACATTGTTTGTCCACAGAATAATTACACATTATTAAATCAAATAAAATAATTATGCTTTTGTGCGCACGTTCGTTTTCTCTGAATCGCACTTAAGCACTTTTGAGAAATGATCTTAGAACAAATTTAAGACGGTTTATATGCAACATTTTATAAATGAGGCCCCAGGTGTCTTTCTGATGATCTTCTCTGCTCGTGCTCTTCCTGGTGTTTGTGGTGGAGGAGACCAACTCCAAAGTATTTCCCCATTTTTAGAGAGAAAATCTGGATCTTCCTCAGGGCATTCCTCCTCTGAATCCTCAAATGAATGCTGCTCCTCCGTGATCTCAAAATCAGGGTCAGCCTCTGTAAAGTCTTCCTCTGCATCAGAAGGGTCATCTGGTTCACTACTTTCTTCATTTTCACTTGACTGAAGCAAGTGTTCCAGGGCCACTTGAACAGTGTATCTTCTTGACATTTTGGTGAAGAATTAACTGTGCCCAGGTCTTCACTGTCTTAACTGGTGGTTACTGGAGGAGAATATTTGATCCATGATCTTATAGTAGCTGTGGCAGCAGGCAGGGGGAAAGGTGATTGTTTTATAAACAAATTGTGTGTGTGTGTGTGTAAGAGAGAGAATAAGAATCACATTTGGATTTTTTGATTTGATTTATTGATTTTATTTCAATAAAAGCGGTCTTCCTCTGATGCAGTCTTACCAGTTCGTGTGTGTGAGAGAGAAAGCAAGACTTTAGTATTTTTTTTTTCATTTATTGATTTTATTTCACATTCTCACAATGTGCTCTGTTGCAGTCTTACCAGTTCATTTCTATGTGTGTGTGAGAGAGAGAGAGACTCTTTTGTTTGAGTTTTTTTTAATTTCTTGATTTTATTTCACATTTTCCAAATTTGCTCTGTTGAAGTCTTACCAGTTCATTTCTGTGTATATATGTATATGTGTGTGCGTGTGTGGGTGTCTATTTTGCACTCTTGATATTTTAGAGAGTCACCCCTTGATTGCTGCACACTTTTTTCAGTTTTCAAATTTTTCGAAGAAGTCAAGTGTGACTATTTTTTTTTTTTATATATATATATATATATATATATATAAATACCTTTTAATATATCCGAATCATGTCCATGATTTTTTTTGTGTTCACATTATATTGCTAATGTGACAAAAGTCACCAAGTGTCGTCTCATTCCGATGAAGCTAAGATTTTTACAATTTCAAAATATAAAATTTTTCGGTAAAAAATGACAAAAGAGGGCCAGAGGCCTATTTCATATATTTATTATTATAAATGAATAGTAAAAACATTAAACAAATATTAAACTGTGTTTTAAAGAGTTGCCTTAAGAGAACCTGAAGTTAATTTGGTTCTGTGTCACCATTTATATTACCTTTTTTTTTTCTGTCAGTCAAACCGTTTTGATTTATTTTATCTTGTTTTGAATAAGCTCTGTTATGCCGTTGTTTCTGATGTACAGTAAAACTGAGGAATGCTTTTGATTTTACAACAAAATTCATCATAAGACATTTTGTGTTCTGTTTTATTAGAATTAAGAACATTGTAAAAGACAACTGTTTTTACACAGAATAAAACAAAAGCAAATTTATTTTTTCAGTCTACACATAAAAAAGGCTATCATAAATCATCCCTGTAATCCTGGTAAGAACAGGGTGATTGTTGTCTGGTTACATGTGTTATTTTGCAGTAAAATTAACACTACAGTTAAAGGTAAAACAATTGGTTTAGCATTTAAAGCAGAATGTTAAAGAAATACTAAGCTCATCAAAACAATGCATTTACTTGACATAATGCCTCACATGATAACAATGAAAAGAATGACAGAGCATTACAGGAAGAGGGTTACTGAGCTAATACTTCACTTAAGAAACAAACAAAAGCGTTCCTGTGAGCATGTTGATCATCACCAAAGATCACGATCGTCGAATGCTTTCATGGCACTCTTCACCCAGCTCAGCTGAGGATCCGCGCAGATACGATAACCCTTCTTTGTGACAAAACTGAGAGAAGGAAAAGATCAGTTACTCCACACAGAGCTCATTATACACAGTATAATAGATTTCCATTCAACAGTCTTGACAAATTATTATGACAAATGAAAACTCACATGACTCCAGGTTTGACGCATTCCACTCTTGTCTCGATGTAGGAATCAATTTTAGCAATGGGGATTTTTCTCCCACGATAATTAAAACAGCATTCAGATGGTAAATTTGCATCTGTGTTGAAAAATATAATTTATGTAATAAATATTTTGACGTCAATCACCTAAATGTTAACAGAAATTGCTCATTGTAGAAAAATCATTAGGTCACTAATTCACTCTTGGAAATGAGCTTTACAACAGTGATAAAGCCTTTTTTTTTTTATATATATAAATGTCAGTTCACACCACTGAACAAATAAATAATGAAGCTTTCGGGTGACTTACTGTTGCCCGTTACACTGGACTGAAGCAATGCAACCGCCAGAAGACCAATGAAAAGACAAAGACAATACTGACGCATAGCTGCAGACGGCTCTTCTTCTTGAGATAACGCTGATATCAAGAGGATAATGTCCTACAAACTTTACCATGGGTTTTAAAAGGTAAAAGAGGAGGGGGCGAGTGTGGTTTTGGTAAGGGGGCAGGTTATAGGAGAGAAATGTTCCACTGCGATCAAAACAGAAAAAAAAGTGCTCATAAGTCTTACAGGAAACAGTTTTGTGGTTATTTCATGTAGCAAAACTGCACCTCATGTATGATTCACCATCTCAGTGCCATTATTCTCAATGTGCACACTAATGAAGTGAACAGGCAATAGAACACGAATATATACAACTTTATTTATTACTATATCATCTGTACTGACACAACGAAAGCAAAGGCAGCATTTTTGGACAAAAGGACAAACACAGAAGAACAGAGATTGGTCAAAGCGGGTTGTGAGAGCTGCATCAGTGCATGCTCAAATAACATCTGAAAGCTTCAAGTGTGCACACAGTCTGCACACGTTTCAATGTTCATACAGTGTTGATACAGATGAATAAAAAGCTCACATTAAATAGTTCGGACTGGCCAGTTAGTCATATGTGGGCACAGATGCATTGCACATCCTAATTCTGTCAATTCCCACATTAAACACATTGCACAATACATTACTCTACTTCATTATCAACATATCCTGTGTTCCTGGATGGCCTTTGTTCTTTTGAACAGCATGAATTGTTTATGATGATGCGCACACTCAAGTACTCACAACATACCATTAAGTTGTTCATGTTACACACACACACACGTCCTCTTTTATTACAATTAAGATTGTATTCACTCCTTTTATTGTACATGAACTCAAACAGCTGAAAGCACTGGATACATATGAAGTCTTTTAAGTTCTTTTTCTGAGATATGCAAGTTATTTCAAAACCTTGGACTTAAGGCGAAAATAAAAAGCCATTAACTTAAAGCTCCTGGTGTGTGTCCCCCAGATATACAAAATATTTTAAAATTGAGGGCAATGAATAATCGGATTATAATGAAAACAGCCAACATTAACACAAAACAAGTTCCTGGGGTTCCTATATGGTAATGAACAAGAAACAAAACATGAAATAGCAGAGAGCATAGTAAAGACGACAGTGAAAATCTATGAAAAAGAAAAAAAATGTGCAAAGCAGCTTATTGCAGTAGTGTGGTTTAGACCACATAAAAGGTGGGAGGTTTTCCTTCGATCACAGTGATCACAAAGCAGTGAAATCTCACCACATTATCTTGATAAGATCTCAACATAAACTTAATTTGGAGTGTGCAAGATATCAAGTGCCATTCAATATTCTGGTGCCTTCATAGCTTGTTTACATATTACTGTGTGTACATACAGTACACACACTTACACTCTCTGAGAGGATATGAAATTGAGCACTTTTTCCTCACAAAAATAATAATCCATGAACTTCCATGATTTCTAATCAATATAATAAATAAGCATCTGAATGCTTAACGTGATACTGTCAATACTTCTCAGTGAAAAACATTCACCAAAATGACATTCACTTCTCTAAACTTAAAAAAAAAAGTGAAAAATGCTGTTATTGCCGTTACATATTATGGTCCCAAAAATTAGGCCAGTTTAGTGCATGTTATTTACATGAAACAAGTAAAGACTTTAAGTATTATAACATGGTATTTTATAAATTTTATCTGATTTTAATCTCAATTTGATGAAGCGTTGAATGTCAGGAATAATTTACTGCAAAATCTAGAGAGGCTTGTTTCTCTGTTATTAATGAAGACAATATGAGATGTCAAGCATAATGCTGCGACGAGCCGTATGACTGAAAACCACCATCATCACTGAACTCGTACTCCTACTCAATCGCTCATCTACCTTCTTTTCAACACTTCAACCGCCATGAGATCCAAGCTGCACCACAATGTTAAAGCCACATTTATTATGCTAAAGTCCTGTTCTGTAAGCATGAATTGAAACCAAACTTTGGAACTTCAGAAACGCTGGTATTCCAGAATGTTTGGTTTTGGACTGGCACAAAAACTTTCTATAAAAAAAGAGAAAAAAGTAAAAAGGGACAGAGAATCCAGTAACAATACCATGAACACAGCAGTATCTTTCAGTATCCACTCAAATCTCTGAATAAAGACATTTGTGAGACAGAAACACAGATTACAGACACAGGGAGTAAGAGGTAGAATAAATAATAGTTCAGTGTGCAATAAGTCTTAGAAACAATGGAAAAATCAACACAGGAGAAAACATACAACAAATAAAAACAACCTCAGAAAACCACAGCAAAACATATTTTATTTCGCTTAAATGGAAATGTCTCGTTTAAGCTGAGGGAGGCAGAAAAGAAAGTAATGAGAGGACAGAGACATGAAATAAAACTCACATTGCCACACCTAACAGAGTCAGGAGTGTACATTCATGTGATGTGTTGCCTCTGTTCCAGCCCTGTGAGGTCAGTTTGTGTTCCCAGGCATCAGTCTGTATGGAAGAGGACACATACAGTGGCCACTGGAACTGATATTCTCTGATGAAGAGTATCCATGGATAGTCAACATGAGTTTCTCTCTCAGTCTCTGTGAGGTGGAAGAGAAGACATGAGGTTGCATCCTTAGCGTTTCAGTAGCGGACTGCCACGGTCTTGTCCTTTCTGCAAAGTCTGAAGAACCTAGAGGTACAAAAGAATGAAAAAAAAATAAGACTAGTGAAGTAAAAACGCAATTAAAATAATGAACAGCACTGTATCACTCTGCTATTTATTAACATGTAATCCTTTTTTAACTAAAATATAATTCATTTATCATACTTTGTTGCAGCCTTGTGCTAAAATGCTTTTAAATTCAGTTTTTAATACATTTACAGAGTTATTACAATCTAGTGTCTGCTCTGTCACTACAGTTTATGAAGTGTGGGGAAAAAAATAGCATTTTACCATAAGGCTGCAACATAAAATGTGAAATATGGGGGGTTCTCAATCCACTGTATATTCACCGTACATTCAAAATGTTGGGGTCAGTAAAATTTGTCCTGAAAGAAACAGATCACTTTATTTAGCAAGGACAAATTAAATGATCATAAAATGACAGTAAAGAAAGTCAAGTATAACATTAAACAGATTTCCATTTTAAATAAAACCTGTTCTTTTAAACTTCATCAATGAATCTTGAAAGAATGTGTCACTGTTTCCACAAAAATCTTAAATGTTTTCAGCATTGATGATAATGAGAAATGTGTTGTAAAGCTCAAAGAAATAAGAAAGAGCACCAAATAATGCTGAACACTGGAGTAATGGTTGCTGAATGTAATATTTCACAATATTACATTTTTTAATGTATTTTTGATTGGATAAATGCAGCCTTGGGATGCATTAGAGACTTTAAAATAAATTACATTTTAAAAATTCTTAGCAGCCCTAAAATTTTGAATGGTAGTACTGTGTGTGTGCGCGCGCGTTTTTGTGACAAATGAGGACATACATTTGTATAATGACAAGGGTATGACATAGGTATTACAAGGAGAAGGTGACTTTTCAGGACATTACTCCATGTCCCCACTTTTCAAAACGCATATAAATCACACAGAATGGAGTGTATTGAAAATCTGAAATAGCACAAAGTTTCCTGTGAGGGGTAGGTTTAGGGGTAGGGTTGGTGTAGGGCAATAGAATATACGGTCTGTACAGTAGAAAAACCATTACGCCTATGGGATGTCCCCACTTTTCACAAAAACAAACCTGTGTGTGTGTGTGTACAGATTTATATCATGGTGGGGACTTAAAGGCACAATATGTCATTTTTCGCCGCTAGAGGGCGCATATTCAAAACAAACAAAGAATCAAAGGCGTAGTTTGATGACGCCGTGACTGAGTGTGGAATCATGGGAGTTGTCGTCTTCTAAGTACACAAGTCAGCAAAATATATAACACTGTTCTAGTGGTTTTTGGATATTTTAATTAAAAAATTGTACATATTGTGCCTTTAAACCTGAATACACACAGACTCATGTGGACTCGTGCCACGGTGGGGACCTAAATTGAGGTCCCCATGGGTTCAAAAGCTTTTTGAGAAAGTAAAAATGCAGAGTTTTCTGTGAAGGGTAGGTTTAGGTGTAGGGTGTGTGTGTGTGCACTTTGGATGGGATAAATGCATAGCACTAATTCTTAGTATGGGTAACCATACCTGGCCACATGTTACGTCACTTTCACTTTCAGAAACGTCTAGCTTCGCGGTCTCTCTCCCTCTCATTTGGATTCGTAGAGTACGTTAGTTAATATAAGGAAACGTCTAGCTTCGCGGTCTCTCTCCTGTTGTATAAACGCAATATCACTCTCGTACTCGAGCGATACCGGCTTAATATCAGCGGCTGTGATTGCCTCTGGCCTAATCACAGCCATGCTGATATAGAGCCGATATCGCTCGAGTACGAGAGTGATATTGCTCATATACTGTATATATATAAGGGGTGTCGAAATTAATCGTTGCATCGCCATGCGGACGTGGACGATTCTGCACAGAGGCAGTAATAGACCATAATCGATTATAGCCTATGACGTCATTCGCATACGCGCTTGTCACGTGAGTAATAAAAATGCACTCTCTATTTTTAAATCGGGGCTTGGCTTTTTAAGTAGCCCCTCACTGCAGAAGAAAGATCCAGGGGGCGGGGTTGGATCCACATCTAGTGCTGTACGACACAGCATCTCTGTCAGTTTCTGTTTAACTCTGTGAACATCTCTTTGTACGAGTCAATACTCAAGCAAACTGAGGTTAAGATGAAATATGGGTCATAGAGGGATTAAGAGGGGTTTCGCTTGTAAACAGTGCAGTGGTGCAGAGCACATTTAAAAAACATTAGACATCACTTGGATAAACAAGACTTACATATCCCACATCAGGACGATAGCAAGTGTAAGCTCCCAGAATGCTGTGCAATACATCATGGTATGGGCCTCCCTGAAAATAAAACCCCAAAATATGATGACACAATTGTCAGCAGATGATATAAAACTCCAGAAACAACAATGCACCCTACCTGTTGGAAAATACAGAGATTGGGAAAGGTTCTGGAAATGTCTAACTTGATCAGTTCTAGACTGGCCTCTCGATCAGCATGAGACAAGCCTGCATCTGAAAAATAAGCAATAATTAGTTACAAAAGGGCATTAAAGCAAAGGCACTTAACAGCAAGGAAAGCTGCTGATAAAGGGGAGAAATAAAGGAAAATAAAAAGAGGATAATAAAATAAAAAAGTATAATAAATAATGTTTTATATGAGATTAAAGAAGTTATTCCAGCAAAAGAGAGGAGAAAAACCATGTACTTGGAAAAATGAAAATGAAAAATGCCTAACAATCACCTTCACTCTCCGTTTCTGCAGCAGCCGTTGGGGCTACAAAGGCATTCCACTTTTCTTTGGCTCTTGCCAAACAGATGTTATACAGCTCTGTTTAAAACACATACACACAAATAATAATGTGTTATTTACTTCACTTTATTTACTTTAATCTTAGTATATGAAACTATGATCCGCACTCACAAAAACAGAGGATACTGGGTTTAACACACTGAAGAAGGCCTTGAGCCAAAAGATTTGTGGGTTTTCCCTATTGGTGATAAATGTATAATAAAATGTAAAAAGAAGACTGTTTTTGTGAGTGCGGATCATGGTTTCATATACCAAGCAATTTAATAGATTGACGCACAAATAAAAGATCAAGTGATGGAAAAGCGTGGTGCAAACGGCTTTGTGGCACTACATATGTAAATCTAAAACCACTATATGCTTTGCAATGAGACCCCCTAGTGATACAGTTTGGTTATTACATGTAACTGTTCTTATTAATCAAATTTCATAAAAGTGTAAGTGTAACTGCATTGTTTAAATAAAGGCAATGTTTAAACAATAATGTAAAACTAACTTCCCATAATCAATCATAGTCTTCAGAATCATTTGCTATTCAACATTTTCACCATTCGTGCAATTAAACCTTCTTTACTTTTCTACTCAATTACAACAGATCACTTTTGCAAAAACAATTAAACCACAACAGTTTTCAGTGCAGAGTTCTCACAGTAAACAACCACAAAAGCATGGTTATTACTGCATATAACATCGTTACCATTAAACCATGCATATAATGTCCCCATTACCAAAATCGAGAAGCTGGAGAGAACAGTCAGTTCTTATATAAGATAGTGGCTTGGACTCCCGCGATGCCTCAGCAATATCGGCCTATATGGGAAAAGTGCCCTGGAACCGCCCGTCTCTAGCCTCACTGAAGAGTTCAAGTGCACCAAAGTGAGACTGGACATGACCCTGACCGAGTCTCAAGATGCTATAATACAAGCGGCTGCTCCCAGATTGGCAACTGGGAGCAAGTGGACCCTGACTGAGGCCATACAGCAGGCAAAATCCACTCTCAGGCATGGAGACATTGTAGGACAGGTGCAGCAGGGATGAGGGGGGTTTTGGACTTGGGACAAGCCGACCCATATGGTACAAAGCAACATCCGCCCAGAGGAGTAAACTGATAGTAACCAAGGTCCGGCAGCAAGAGGAGACAGAGAAATGCACAAAGGTTGTCTCGCAGTCCAAACAGGGACAGTGGACTAATTGGGAAAATCTGGAGCAACGTAAACTCACCTGGAAGGATCTTTGGGAGATGGAAGGAAGCAGACTGAACTTCATCATTAAAGCCACCTACGATGTTCTCCCCACACCCAAGAACCTAAACCAATGGATTGGAGAAGATCCATCATGTCCTCTCTGTCAAACCCCAGCAACGCTAAGGCATATCCTCGTCGGCTGCAAAACCAGTCTTTCCCAAGGACGTTACACCTGGAGGCACAATCAGGTTCTGAGACAACTGGCGATTATCCTGCAGGGAAGAAGAATCACCACCAATGTCCTCCCTCCTCCAACGCCTGGATTCTCAAAAGCCACCACCTTCGTAAGAGCACGACAGCTTCCAGTAAAGCCAACTACAAAAATAGAAACAACCCTGCTGGACACTGCCTGGGACTGGAAAATGCAGGTTGATCTGGACCAGAAGCTCAGCTTTCCACCTGAGATAATTACAACTAACCTCAGGCCAGACCTAATACTGTGGTCAACCTCACAAAAGTCCTTGTTCATCGTGGAACTAACTGTACCAAGGGAGGCTGCAATTGGTGAAGCAAATGAACATAAAAGGCTGAAGTATTCAGACCTATTAACTGAAGCAGTACAACGGGGCTGGCGAACACAGTTGCTCCCCGTAGAGGTTGGGTGCAGAGGTTTTGTAGCCACGGCAACAACCAGGCTACTGAAGGGGTTGGGAGTCAGAGGACAGGCCTTACGACAAGCCATTAGGTCGCTGTCAGAGGCTGCTGAGCGAAGCAGCAACTGGCTGTGGCTAAAAAGGAAGGATCCCAAATGGGCTGCAAAATGACCTAGAGGAGTAGAAGCAGAGGGGAGCGCACCTGGGATGCCAGGTGTTGCTGTTGAGCCCTTTGGAGGTGTCGTGGGCCTATCAATGAAACACAGAGGAAGGAGGGTGCCCACCTGATGACCCCAATGTAGTGATTACCCCTACTCTCCACTCAAGATGTCAACAAAGTGCCGATTATTCTAAGGGATTGTACTATCAAGTCCTACACGCTCAACTTTACCATTAAAACATGACATTACATTTTTTGTTAATAAAAAAATAATACCGGAGAAAAAAAAGTTTAAACTTAAAGACTAATCAAACCACATCAAACCACAGGACGCTGCTTGTGAAACACCATGAACAAAACAAAACCACAATACAAAGAGATTTATATAAATTACACACAAAATACACATTTAAAAGAATAGAAAAAACTTAATATTTAACATTCTTTTTTTTATCCATACATTTGGAATTTTAAAAAATTATGTCCGAAGTAATCTTTTCCTGTATGTGCTTATCCAGTATGTGTGAGGTGTGTGTGATAAAGCACACATAAAACCCATTCATACCATCTGTGATGTTTAGTTCATTGCCTATCGCTAGACTCCAGACTTTGCCCCTCACACTGGGTGGCAGACCCTGCCACCATAAATCCCTCACCCGCTTAGATGAACACCTGGAATTGTGAAGAGAAGGACAGAGTGAAGTAAGTCATCATTTTTATATATTTGCGTTTATATATTTTTTTCTCTAAGCATATTTTAATTGTTACATTGTTTATTTCCTTTTTGGACTTTCAGCCACTTTTATGTTTTATTCACAGGGATAGCAGAGAGATCATTGGACATAATAAGGATAAGAGCTACACACATTAAAACACACATTGCTCACATGAGCACCTAAGCTCAACATGTCAGTACACATGCACTAAATTCTAGTCCATGTCTCTCACTAGTTGGTCAGTACATCTCTTGCCAAATATTACTCCTTGGAATGTTTTTATGGGATGATATTAGACTCTAAATGATTAATAGTCTTTATTTGTACAAATCGCTGCACAATCATTTAATCCCGAATTACACAGACTCAAATTGAAAGGCATTTGTTTGTGTTTAGTAAGATACATGTATAAAATGTATGCAGTACATGGATAATTGTGCATGCATCTATTAATCATTTAGAGTCTAATATCATCCCATATGTTTTTGGCTCTTCTTTGATCTATTGTCTGTTATTTAATTATATGGAATGTCAAGAATATTTGATTGTGTGATATATTGTGTCAATGATTTTTGTGTGCAGACTCACATGCTTTGCCAGTTGGGTAATATCTCCTGACTCCAGGTGAGAGCAGCATTGCCGATGCTTTCCTCTAGTTTACACCTGTCCTCTAGTTGTTTTTTCCGTTTCTGGGCCTCTTTCAGCTCTGCACAGAAACACACACACACACACACACACACACACACGTAGTGAGAGAGGAGGAACGGAAGTTAAATGGAAATGTGTTTCAACAGGATTCAATTTCAGCTTTTGCAACAGCGCCCTCTACAGCACAAAACTGGACACACAGGCACAAACAAATGTGTGAAAAAGTCACCTCTCTTCTTGGCCTGAGCTACCATCTCCTCATATTCTTGTCTGTGTTTCTGGGCTTCTTCCTCAGGTTTTGCAGGAAGATTCCTACACACAGATACATAATGACTGTCAACAGATACATTACTATCTGTGAGAGAAAACATTCTAAAACACTTTACATTTATAACTCCTTTATTATTCATTATCTACTGTGCTGCATGGTATAACGTTGCATGCAAGATGGAATTTTTTTGTGTGTTTTAGGACAATACAGGAATGAGAGGTTTCAGGACAGGAGGAGATATACAAAAACACTTACGCTGGACGGTTCTCCAGTATAAGGGCTGTGGTTGAAAGTGGCTCAAAGTCCAGGTTCCTTCTTACATTCTTATTGGGAGATATGGAACTGCTTGACTGTCCACTCCTTTCATATTCCTTCAAAAATAAAAAAAATAAATAAATACAAATAATTTACAATAAATATATACACATTTTATGAATCTATAAAATAATGAAAATATAATAAAGCAAACATATAAATTATCTTATGATAAAAAACACCTGTTAACACATTTCAATCATGAGAAGCAAAAGCCAACACTGTATATAGTCCAAAGAATTACAACAAACAATACACTTTCAAACAGTTCAAGGCCAGCTGGGCGAAAAAAAAACGAAAAAAAAACAGGTAATTCGCAACAACAACAAAAACTTTTTAAAGAGATTTTTCCATTTGTCATTTTTTTCCATTTAACTCTGATTAATGCAATATAATGTATTATTATATTATTATAATGTAATATTTGAATGAAATCTGCTTAAAAGAAAAACAATACAACATATACTACAATAAAAAATTACACTTTACAATTAAAATTGTTAAATCATTTTTTCCCCATATTGTACTGATGATTTTGGATTATGGCAATGAGGCCTAATCCTCAAGAAAATGCTAAATAATACATTTCAATGTTTTAGACATAAGAACTTTGTGGAACTAATGCTTTCACAAGTTTTTAACATCCAGGGTTTTTGCCACACAATACTTTTCACAACCTGCACAAGTGGAAGCAGAAGTTCTCAAACAAGCAGGAACTGTGAAAAATAACACTCTTTGCAAACACAATGCGTCACAAATGGAATAAGAACAACTTGCTCCTGTTACAGCATTTGAGTTTCTTTACAAAGTCTCATGTCACACACTGTACACCCTGAATAGTAATTCTGAAGTAAATCTGTGTATCTGAACAAAACGAAGATAAAGAAATACGTTTTGTTTTATTTATGCAGTCAGAAAGCACACACTATCGCTCATGAGTGAATATAAATATTTAATTTGCCCCTGCACTGCACTCTCTCAGAGATAAAACTATAGACAAAATGACCTACATTCCAACTATGAGCCAAATGTGTATAAGAAAAGGACATTAAGTAAGATTAGACGGGAAGCTCCTGATTGGTTTTAAGAGTGAAAGAGGGACAGCAAACCAAACAAACAGGACAACAATATAGTCTAATTCACCAACACACACAAATGTGCTTACACATGAACACCATGTACACGTCATTTCCTCCATTCAAATGCTCTTTTTTCTCTTCCTTCTCATTCTCACCTTTTCTTTTTCATCAGACAGAAAACGATATGAACTCACCATGAACGCTGCGGTGCTGTTGAGACATTCAGAATCCAGCGTTTCAGACACTACACTCTACACCATTGCTGTATTTCTTAATAATACAGCTTAAGTCCCTTGTAGACCGAAAGGCAAGGCACAGCGGCAGAAGACCGCAAGGAATATGGGACACACCCTGAGAAACAGTAGCATGATTCTACTGTGCTCCTGCTCCTCTGCTGTTATTGCTGTCTCACTCCTGCTAAGTTACTTGACACTGTTTTTCCTTGCCCTCTTTCTCTCTATTACTTCGTCCTAACAAACACACACCCAACTGGGAGGCCCTACATCAGAGGGATGCAGAGGATCAGACCTTGTCCCGTGCACCTGCTGTGTCCATATGTGTGTGTGTACATAATGCTAATGTTACTCGTCATCATCACAGTGCTGAGAGAGGATCCATGATTTACAGGCATACTAACTGATTCCAGCTATTAGGAGCACAAGGCTCTCTGCACTGCAGTCTCATGTGATCAGTGCACTCTGTGCTCCGCTGTGCATGTCTGAGTCATGTACAAAGATGATAAATAATCTGCTTTATGTGGCCTGTGTGTCATCAGTTCTCATGAGCTTCCACTGATTCAAATAAAATATAACAAGGAACATTCTAACCACTAACCACTTTAGTCTCTTGAGACTTTACAAATAAAACAAGTACTTTGTACAAGTACAAGTATTTGCTTGTTTTAGTTGTAAAGTTTTAAGGGACTACAAACAGGTAGAATATTGCAATATTTAAAGTCAAAAGCACTGATGCAGGAAAGAAGTGCATAATATTAAAGTGCCCCTATTATGTCTTTTCGATTATTACCTTTCATGCAGTGTGTCATGTAGCTGTATGTGAACAAACTATCTGCAAAGTTGTGAAGCCGACAGTGCACGATAAGTTGTCTATATATATATAAAAAATTTTTTAAAAGGAGTCGGCTCGCAATCGCCTAAACGAGTCGTCAGGAATTCGAATCTTATTCTGTTACGGCTCTACGTCATGCAGTAACACATTTGCATAATGTCCGCCCACTTGTTAACACTTGACACTTACCACTGAGAAACGTCCTGCTCCAGTCGTGCTTGCGAATCAGTCTCTTGTCTATCAGCCACTTCAACTGTTTCATCATCAGACTCCGGCTCGAATTGGTAAGGTACAATCGATACCATCTTTGCTCCGGTCGTTCTTTGGAGGTAGACTCCAGATAGAATTGGTAAGGTACAATCGATACCATCTTTTCTATGTATTGACAAGTCTCCAGGGCTGTCATTCCGTCATGGCAATGGGCGTTTTGTTTCCAACACGCGCTGTACGCGGTAAACCAATCCAGAGCCAATCTCTGTACGGCTCTGGACCAATCACAAGGGACTGCGCCATCTGACCAATCACAGCAGTGAGGGCTCACGGAAAGGAGGGGTTTAGAGAGACTGATTCTTTGAACTGCTTCGCACGAGTCGTTTACAAATCATTTAGAAATGAGGTCAAATTAAATCTATTTTTTGAGAAAACTAACATGTTTTTTGACCTTGCATGCATGTAAACCTGTTTTAGGAGACTCAGAAAACAATATTAGCAACCTTAAAAATGGCATAATAGGGGCACTTTAAGCTAATCTTAACTCATCTCTTCCTATAAGCCACTGCTAGAGCCTAAATAAACCAGCAGCTCTAAACCTGTCACCCAATACCCCAATCTTCCATTACAGCTGCAGAGAACAAAAGCAAGAGATAAAGGCAGGAGTTGGATGTGGATGAAATCTAGATGGACACGGGGAGGCTGAATCAGGGGGTTCAAATTACCTAAAGCAAACAGCAGGCCTGTACACAGGAAACAAAGCCCCATTCACAACAATATCATAACTCTGCATTCGATTGATTCATGCATAAACTTATATAAACAAATCTTTAAACGTAAATGTTTCACTGTTAAAATCATTTCTTCAAGCGGTCATGGGAGGAAAGTGTTACCCAGCATATTTCTGACATCAAAGAGACGCATGACAAATAAAAACAATGTGTTCTTAAATTGGCTCAAAGTATCAAGCAAGTTTGATATCCTCAGACTGGACATCATACACTACACTCTGCAAAATCTGTCAACTCCGACTGTCCAAAATCTGCAGACTGGCTAAAATCTGGCTCTGACTTCGCCAGACAGCAAATTAAGGCAAAATCCTGGACTACCATTATGTAGTGTATCTCAGTCTTTAGTTTAAAAGCAGCACATCACAGGACTTGCTTTGTTAAAGAGGATCTGACATCACATTTATGTGGCCTAAACATTCAAATAGGTAGGGCAATACTCAATGTACATCATAAAAATACACTGAATACAGAAACTATATTTTCACAATTTCGGTGCAACCCTACTACATGAAAAGCACTCAAAAATCAGGTACATTGCATTTTGACTTCTTGTAAGATCTTGTATGAGTGCAGGTGTGTGAACGTACCTTTTGTATTTTCCTGGAGTCTTTGATTGCAAGTTCTTTATGTGGAACTTTACCAAACAGCTTCCAGCCAGGCTCTCTCTGTTCTTCCTGTGCACCCGTATCCTTCATCCTCTTAGCAAAAAGACTCCTTACAAATAAAGAAAAGAAATAAAAGGACAGAGTTAATAGAGAGCTACATCTACTGATAATTACCTTCTCTAGTGTTTTTTAAAATACATATATTTTCACTATTTTTAAGCAATGTGAATTCCACGAATGTGAATTTCACTAAATACACAGACCAAAGAGAGAAACTGAAAAGAATACTGCACTATAGTAGAGACTAGAGAGTGAGGCACAAGGGGGAAAAATAACATTTGAGCTGTTTTAAGATCGAGAAAAGCTTCAAGAAAGTCCATGTTGCAGAGATAAAAAGGGCAGGCAATTTGGAGACATGGCCACGCTATTCAGTGGCTTCTCAACATTTTTGATCTACAAGCCATTTTTTATATTCCACAATGCTTGTGAAACAAATACATGAGTGCTTCAGCAGCACTGAAACTGATATGGTTGATGATGGTAATATGCAAAATCATGGGGCCAAAAGCTGAAGTATATCAGTGTTATATCAAGTACTGCATATCATAGCTGAATTGGGGCCTGCAAGAAACTGTTTATTTTAAAAGGACAATGTATATTAGAAAGAAAAATATTAAAATATTAAATCACTTGTGATGAGAAACACCAGCATACCCTATAATCAGAAATTGAGATTACAATTGAGTGAAAATTGAAACATTGCAAATGTAGGTTGTTACTAAAAGACAAAACAACAACAACAAAAATCACAGAAATAATATTTTTAGGATGCTACCCCAATACAAAAACCTATATATAAAAATAAATATTTTATTAAAAAAAAAGATATTTCGAAATATCTTCAGAAATATTCAGAATTCCAGCAGACACAATAGAGAAAAAGGGTACCCAAGAAAATTGCACACATGAAAAGTATAATGAAACTAAAAAATAAAAGGAACAAAAACAATTATACATTAGAAAAAGCTTAAAGCTTGTTGAATAATAATAATAATAATGCAACATTATTTGAAAGGCAACATTTGGTGAAACTCACACAATCATACGCATAATAATACTACACAAATCATTAGTTTATTTTAACAACATTACAAATGCAAGTGCTACGATACCTGTGGAAGAAGCTGGCGAGGGGACCCAGTCTCTTGGGTCTAGCCTCATGTGGTATAGAGACCCCCACAGGATGCCTATGAGGGCTGCTGAGCTTGCCGTGTAAGTCAGTAGGAGATGAGAGTGAACTGTCAGAATGGTGCAAGACATCTTCATTCTCAAATGTAACAACAGCACTGGACTCGGATGTAACCATAAAGTCTAGGAAGTCCTCATTACTGACAGACAATGTGGCAGAAAACTCAGTACTTAAACTTGAAACACTGCACATTGAAATATCATCACTGCGGTTCAAAGTACCCTTGCCTGCCGCACTGGAGAGCCCGCCGGCTCCATAAGGACGTACCAAATCAAAGTCACAACGTGGGAAGGTGGAAGACTTGAGTATGGAGCTATCTGAAATATCCAAGTTTAGTGTTGCTGGACTATCATCATGTGGAGGTGGAACCACCAGCTCAGCAGTGGTGACTCGAGCATGAATGTGCTCAGGGGGGTTCATCTCAAGGGAGGGGATTCCAGAGTCCTGAGAGGCCAAGCTGCTGCGATCCTCATCACATGTGCCATTAAAGGGAGTGAATGATTTGCAGCCGAGGGAGACATGTGGCAGCTGAGAGTCTGAGGGCATGTGATGGTTGACATGGTTTTGGGTGACAGGCTTTGAGGCAATCTGCAAACACTGGTTGTGTGAAGAGTTGCTGAACGATGAGACCTGGAAATCTAGAAAGGCAAATAACAAAAGAAGATCAGTCCTTATAAGGAAAAGTCTTATGGCTGTTTTGTCTCCTTTTAGAAAATAAACCGACATTTTTCTGAACCAATAAATGTAATTTCCACCATGTCAGATTACATACAGATTTTCATAGCATTCTGTGGTGGAAATGACAATGATGGAAATTACATTTTTAGGGGGGAAAAATGGCTGACTCCATCTTGCTAGGTTAATTTCACAAAAAAACATTTTCTACTTTCTACATTACACCTTGACTGGAAATGACACAATATAAAACTACTCTATCTTCACACAATATACACAGTATACTGCACCAATGTCTGATTGACTACCTTCATTAGGGGAAAAATTTATGTTTTTGGTTTAAATGAGTGGGAAATTTATTGGGTAAATCAATTTTAGCCAATAAATACTAAAATGATTAGTGCTAATGTCACTCCTGTTTAATTGTTAAGGTCATAAAGATTTAAAAATGTAATAATATTTTATGATTTTTTTTTGTTGTTGTTGTAATTTTAAGACTGACAGACTGGGTCTGGGACAACTGTAACACCATGTCTACACCAGACTTAAGTGGTGCGACACTGCATGCAAATGGTGTAAAACAAACTTTATGCAGAAAAGGCATCTGAAAAACAAGAAAAATCATGAATGCATGGTAAAATAATATAACAATATAATATAATAATAATTTAAAAGAGTTTTTAAGACAGTTTTTGCAATAAATACCATCTCTACTTATACTTATCTCAGGGTCACTTGGACAAAAATAAATCAATTGTATCCTAGAAACCCATCAGGGAAAATCACACCTTAAACTGTAATAAAAAAAATTATATATATATATATATATATTTCCCTCAACCCTAAAACGCAAAATAATAAATTGAAAATAATGCAATGCATTATTGAAAATACGTATGTAAAAATGACTTCATATTATTAGTAATTGGGCCCAATTTTTTATGTTAATTTTTCCATTAGGTGATAGGTCTGTGGTCTCAGCCCACACTATATTCCCCATATGTCAGTATTCCAGGTAAACTGAAGGGTGACAAGACTCAATGTGCATGGCTGGGTAAACACCTCTCTGAGTCTTCCCTCTGTAAAACAGCACAGCAACCTCTAGTCACACCACACCACTGACCAGCTTCTCTACATAAGAGTGACATGAAAACTCAAGTGTGCAGGAGTAGAGAAAGCAACCTGAAAGCATACCAAAAATGTGACCCAAAGACCTGAGGAAACATCACATCAACACTCCCACCAGCTCAACTATGAAACAGCTGTCCTCAAACATCCTTGATAATTTAATTAGCGGACAATATCTTCCATCAAAATTGAACAAAAATAGCTCTTTGACTTAATGAGGATAGAGGAAGAATGACTGGGGTGCATACGTCCTGAGGACATCACAGTAGCACATCAACAGGACATCAAAAACAAAGTGGAAAATAGAACATCAGCTCAAAACAAAAAAGATGGCAAAGATGATGTTTATATTGTGCCTGATACGGATGCAATAAATATAATGGGAGAGGCAACAGAATTCGAGCTCTGCTGGTTCTTCCTCCTCAATTGAATATGGTTCAGTGTGTGTGACAGGTGTGTGCACCTGTTCATCTACTGCAAAAGAAACAAATATGTGCATATAATCTACAAACCAATATTCGATTGTGGATAGAACATGCCTTGACAAAGCCATGAAATCTACAATTGAAAGTGCAATCAGTAACTGCAGCTTTTGACAGGACAACAATACTTTAATAACCCAACAATACATGCCTTAAACAATAACAGCGTTCACAATTTCAGAAGTGACCCAGCCCATACATTTCTCAAATTCAAAGAATTATTTTTGGTCTTTGAGTTTTAAGTTTTCTGTGTTCCTGTAGTCAAAGATAAATAGCTAACCGATTTAAACGATTATTTCTTTTATCCAAATTAATAATGAGCTCTTTCAACTAAATCATACAGAGCTACTTCTTGGCTCTTTGAGCTGATGTGTTGCTAATGCTTGTAAAATACTATGAAATTGTTGTTCTCTGATGCAATCCCTCATAACGCAATCAGCATCCTCTGAATTTCTCAAAACCACCAAAGATACTGTTTTTTAAGGAAATATGACTGCATGACAGAGATTACAGAAGTTATGGTTACAACATTTCTAGAACAATGAACAAAGTGTGTCCATATTTGTACTTTGTAGATTAGACCCTACTGCAAAAGTTTTTGTGGCCTCAATTGATCCTTAAATTAGACTAATTATAAATTAAAATATTAATATAAATTCTAATATTGCTAGAAACTACTTAGTTAATAATTTCTAATAAGGACGAAACATGGAGACATTTTTACATTTCTACATTCCCTAAATCTAATATTACATTTTAACATAATATCTACATTAAGCATGATTCTGCCAAGAAATCAGAGAATAGAAATATCAGCGCCCGCCCCCCCAGTTTTCCTGTGTGCTCTCAAACTACTTATATTTTTATGCATAATATGCATATTTTGCAAAAAACATAAAACACATCGGTTATATATATATAAACAGTTTAGTTTTTTATTTCTCCATTGTTTTGACTGGCAATGCTTCATAGGATTGTAGTTCTTTCCCTTATTAAAGGCGTTACATAAATAGTCTTGTATCTTAGGTCTCTTTGTCTGTTTTCCAAATACTTTTTTGCTTCAAATCAAAACGTGTATCGTTGTGAATCACCACCTGGTTGTTTTTGTTCAAAGCTTTTTTTGGTTCATAGTCAGTAAATCAGGAAAATCCCTATGGGAAAAATACTTCTGGTCTGGAACCATGCTTTAAAACTGGGCGAGCACTGTTGCACTCTATTATTCATAACTAGCAACTGTAGAAACACAGAATGGCCACTGCATTTAGTAAATTTGTAATCACTGATGTTCAATATAGGTTTACTTTGTCAATATTGCAAGTGCTCTGAAAAACAGTTTGAAACTATCCTGTAGTCTCTTTTCATTCATTCATTCATTGAAGTGCATGCTCGATTTCTCAATTAGTAAATACATTTTCAATGTTTCATCTGATTACACTCAAACACAGTTAAATACACACATAAACATGACTAAACAAAACCATTTATGTGATGCATAGAAGTTTATTTTTTAGTTTTGTAGCCTGTTTTTCCCCATGACTCAAAACCCAGTGATGCTAATGAGTAATAATACTAATACTGCTGTTAACATTTTGAGATCCAGACCCTAAACAAACAGCTTGGAGACTGTACCTGTTACATAGCCTACAAGGTTTCTTTGAACTCACCATCATTGCTTTGACTGGACGTGTGCTCTGCTTCTGCCATGTTCCTGCCGCAGGTGGAAAGATGTGTGTGTGTCCATCACCTCCTCACATTCACTCCACACCCTCCAATAAACAACACATCAAACACTATTATTAATACTGTTCGCTTTCACGAGCACTTCTGCATTTCATTTATCATCTACACTCTAAACTTAACTCAAAACTTTTCGCCTTGCTTGTGCACTTCACTATTCCTAGGGTGAGCAGACATTAAACTTTTACAGAACGGCAAGAGTCTTGACTGCAAAAGGTTTAAACTCTTATTTGCGCACGAGTAACGCTAACAGCGAGATAAAAGCTAATGGAAAGTATCTTACCTGTTGTGACGCTGCCTCCGCCATTTTAAAACATCCTCACCGATATAAACGTGCCAGGAAACCATGCGAATCGATAATTCCACCTGCGCTACGACTGAATGAAGTGATGGTCTGCATCAAATAAAGTCAAAAACGATTGCTACTTCCACCTGTGGAGGTAACGTCGCTTTTCAGGCACACAAAACGTTGTCATTTAAAGAGAGGCAGCGCGTTTTGAAAGTGTTAGGACATATTGCCGACAATCAGTAAATCAGGAAGTGACCTCCAGTGCCCTGTACACTGTACACACACTGAGCGACGCGATAAAACTACGACGCTGCTGCTGCCCGCGGTGTCATATTGTAGCCTACTCTCCGGTGATTTATTAGTTTTGTCGCGTCACGTGTACACCAGCTTTAATGAATGCGCCTGACCATTGACTGCAAAAATAGCAGTAATTCACCAGTCTACTTACCAGGAGTCCAGCCAGTTGTGTTTGATGTTACCGTCAGAACAACCTCTTTTTTTTTAATATACTTTAATTTTACTACTACCAAGAGACATAGGCCTATGTACTGATTTAATGCACTTGAAACATGCAACTACTTGTAGCTGGATTTTCTGTGGCTGGTACGGGGTAGGATATAACATTTTATTAGGCCTACTCTAAGCACTGAGGGAAAATACTGAGAATATCCTTTAAACAGCAAATTACAGTATTTGTAAAGTCATTTTCTGTGACAAGTTGTGCTGGAAAGTCTTTAAGGTCAGAGTTCCACTTGGAGATTAAGCACTTCCCTCAGTCTGATTCTGTTATAACCAGGTTGGCCCAGAGTCAAAGCTTAATGTGTACCTAGAAGTGACCTATTCAACATTTAGCAATCTGGCTAGTGATTGTAGAAATCAGACTCTCTTACGGTCACAAATAAACAACAAATAAGAATTTTCTAATGTTTATTAAAGGTTTAGAAACTTCACAATGATTGCAATAAGGAAACTGAGAGAGTTCTGCATTAAAAGTTATACAACATTGCAATCAGAACGTAAACCTTTAAGGACTTGAAAATCAACCTCTTCAAATGTACTTACTAAACCAAAACCTTTGAAAAAAAAAAAATGCAAATGCAATTTTCAGTCTCCCACAGACATGAGTACTCGGTCTTTCTTCAGCAACCATACCACCTCGCACACAGAGCTAGACTTGAAAAATAAAAATAAAAAGTCATCACTCTTTTATTTTATTTTAAAATGAGTCTGTTCAAACTAAGAGAGGAACCATTTCAAATTTGTTTAACAGTAAATAATCGGTCTATGCTGTTCTGTTATATTTGACTGTCAAACACATTTACTATATTTATGCATTTTCTCAAAATCTAAAACGCTTTTGTCCTCTGTCACCCACCCACCATAAACAAGTTTCTTAATCTTATCATAAACCAAACTAATGCAAGTAACAATTTTGGAGGACGGCAATATTTAACTCAAAAGTGCTTGACAGAACAAGGATTAACTTGGGTATTGATTAGAGAAAGTGATGGCAACAATGTGTAATAGAATTTCGGAATCTGACAGCATTTTAAACTGTAAAAATTAAATTGAATTGTAACATGTTATTTGTCAACTAAATACAAATCCAATAAAGGAGTCCATACGCACTGCTGTACCCAGTTATAGCATACAGTATAATAACTTTGTGCCGTCATACTTGCTTTCTACCACTTTACATTTCATTTATGATCTTTGAAAAATAATAATCAAACTCCCACAACCACAATGAGCAAATAATGTGGGGAAACACACAAACACACAAGCCGTTTCAAACTGGGTCATACAAAATCATCTCTCCAAGGTTATGGTCTACAGTCCTGGATCACACACTTTAACAAACTTTAGGTCTTGACCTTGTCTCAAGAACAAGGCCCAACCCGTTTCTGTTAAAATAAGCACAAATCTTTTAGAAGGACGAACTGTGTGTCCATTTTTTTCTTACACACATTTGAAGATTACATCTTTGCAGTAGTGTATGAATATTAGCACCAACAGAAAAAATACTCTATAGATCTTACTGTAAAGACTGCAGTCAACAAAAACGTTCTCACTTGCAAAGGGGAATAAGCACATTTAACTTATTTTTTTTCTTTTTCTTTCTTCCTTTTTGCTTTTAAAAAAAAAAAAAGTATTTTATTTGACATTTGATGCCAAAGAAAGTTTAGAAAATTAAATCCTTGTGCCCAATTAAGGAATTGTTCAAAGGCATCTGTTGGTCATTGATGAATGGGGCGATATCATTTTCTATTTCATTGCCACATTCAAATTCCCCCTTACAAACAAGTAATGCTTTAAAACCAGTTTCCCCACATTGGTACAGAAAAAGAATGCACACATTTTTCAACTAAAAAAAAAAAAAAAAGGGTTTGAGGGTGCTCTAAAAAAGCAAATGTCGCCAAATTTCACACATTGTAGCAATTTACACTCTGCTGATGGAGCATACATGTAGTAATTTCTCATGCTAACATCTGTAACAAAACAAAACTGAATGAAATGGGGGAAAATACCCATCCAGGTTAGATTTAAGCTAGCAGATGGCAAGCTACACATCCATTAGAGTGAAGAAGACAAAAGTGAATGGATAAGATGGTATTAGAGCAAAAATTAAATTTACGATGGACTGGATTTTGCATTATGAACACCATATCCCTACCACCTCTCACTCCAAAGCCACAAAAGAAATTATATAGGCAAGCAACTTATCAAACTTTGTAGGAAAAATAATTTGGGCCTTATGCAGTGTGGGGACATATGTCACAAATAAACCCTATGTATATATATTTTTTTAACACAAACAAACATTAATATTGTAAGGTTGTAGAATTATGGTGTGCCAAAATACTATATTGCTTTTATACACCCCTCTTTAGTATGATGCATCAGCACACAATGAAACAGCAAAAACATATTTCTGAAACAAGCAGAAAGAAAAGTACATGAAAAGAACCAACCTTCAAGCAATAAACTGCCATTACTGGAAACACTCAATTCTTCTCATGTATTAAAAAAAAAAAAAAAACTAAAAACAATAAAGCCATATTATAAATCAAAGTCACAATAACAGCAAAAACATATTTCTGAAACAAGCAGAAAGAAAAGTACATGAAAAGAACCAACCTTCAAGCAATAAACTGCCATTACTGGAAACACTCAATTCTTCTCATGTATTAAAAAAAAAAAAAAAAACTAAAAACAATGAAGCCATATTATAAATCATCAGTAGTCACAATTTTGTTGTGTAAAGAAGAGGACGAAATTTCACTGAAATACGTAAACTTTACACTAAACTTAAAGAAACAACACACAAAATTATGTCTACAATATCAAGCTGCAACTGATTGATTCGATCAACTGTATGGTGTAAACTGTATACTTTTAAAGACATAGAAACAACTAACGTGAAATTGTATAGTTGGGTCAAAATATTCAGTTTTGCAGTTTTAATTGTTTGTTTTTTTGCTTATTGTATTATTACACCTTCAACATATTACCCTGCTTTATTTCTTTAAGATGCTTTCAAAGCTGCATTGAAATAAAAGGGAACATAAACAAATAATTTATGTGACAAAACAAAAGTGGGGTGGGGGGGGCAAAAGCACTTTTTCTTTCAACACACCAAACCTCACACAACTCTATCCTCTACAAGTCATTTAAAAGGAAAAAATAAGAACAATGCTAAATTATCTGATTAGGGAAGGGGGTGTCGCAATCGTAGTGCTTTCAACCTGACTTCTGAATATTCATAGTTCGGTCACAGAAACTTAGACTATTAGAAGGACTGAGACTAGGTTCACAAGCACATGCACAATCAGTAGGACCACAGTTATAGTGTATCCTAGATCAAACATAAAAGTGAAGCTAAAATCTATAAGGGGAAAATTAAAGAACAATCTTAATGCTTAGCTATGCCTTTTTTATTATTTTCAAAATTGATCAAACTTGGAATTAACAGACTGAAAACAAGTCTATAATAAATGCTGTTGACCAGAATCATCTAACTGTACGTTCAACCTATTGTCATGTTTTCCTCTCTTTATGCTTTCATCTTGGTGATACGCCGTTTTAGATGAAATGGCTGAGGAATAACAGGGCTTAGGACAGCGTGGTTAAGACAGAGCCCACTGTGGGCCCTGGTCTCACTGTTCTTGTAAGGGTCCTCCTATCCCTCCTCTGGGTTTTGGTTGAAAGTGATAGGAGGAAATTAGCATTGGTATGCCTCCACGCTCAGCAGAAGAATCATACATTACTGCTTCCTAGAAGCAAAGGAGGGTACAACATTTAGTATTAAGCAAACTTACACACAGACTCCCTTTTCCATTCAATGTAGTGTCTATAATTTGACAGTAAGATTAATCATGATTACTCCCTATTGATGGATCAATGGGTTTATCAAAGCAGTGTACAACTGACTTCCCTAGTATCTAATACGGCTAAATATTGTACTCTTCTTACCTCCGCACTGAGAACTTGGAAATAAAGGGGAACACAGAGTACTTTGCCACCAGCACTCTTCTTGCTGCATATTAGTTAAGCACTGTTCTCCAAAATTCAACAGTGGAAACTGTTTAAGAGACAAAGAAAGTCAATCAATGAGAGCATTTTATTTTTTTTTACTTTTGAAAGGTAAAAGGTAGATCTTTAAAGAATATCAAGTACTGTCATGGCATATATGAATTCAGTGCATTCAAGTGCAGGTGACAGCAACGTCAGTATCAACCAATAAAAACATGCTAATATATCGTACAATTTTCCATATGCGTTTCTCTGAAGGTTAGATAACAGTTAGAGAAAAAAAAATGGCTCTGCAGTCACTTACCTCATGCATATCTTGAGCAACATCAAGCAACTTCTCACTTTTTGGAATCTGATCAGTTGCAGCGCATTTGCAAGACTCTGTCTCCCTGCTAGATTCCTCTTGCTGAAGAACAGAGGACTGCACATGAGAACATGGCACCGAAACCACTGCCGTCTCACAATGTACGCAAATCTCTTGTTCAGTAATCGGCAGAAGGGTGCTCCCACCCTCCTGTGAATCGAGCGACGTCTGTGCACTCTTCTCCATGCCAGACTTCTTTAATCTGGGTAGGAACTTTCCAGACTCCAGCTCCGATTTTCCGTAGTAAGGGCCCTCGCACTCTGCGTCCTCCTCGAGAGGCTTGAGGTCAGCCTGTGGGTCATCAAAGAGGTCTGCTTGACCAACTGGAAGACTCGCTTCCTCTTTCTCAGACTCTACATCTGACTCACTGCAACCACCTGGAGAAAGTTCAGAGGCAGATATTGGTCGGAAATGAGTC